TGAAGGGGGTGTGAGTACATGCAAGCATCCCTGGCCAGCCCTGGCTCTGGGTGGCGAGGAGAATTCCAGGAACTCCAGGAAACTGATGTCAGGGCATTGTGTGTGTTTGTTTTCTTTTGACTGCACTAATGTTTAATTTTAACTTAACCCTCAGAGGGATATTTTTAGTAAAACTGTTTCTTCACTCCGTTTGTCCCTTGTGTGTGTGGAGGGGTGAACAGATTGTGCCTCCTTGTTTTTTTCCAGTACTCAGCCCTTTCTTCCTTCCCTCTGAAGAGCTCGCTGATGATTGACTGAGGGCTTGAACATTTAGCAGCTGTGTTACCCTGTCTCTTTGTATGGAGTGGCTAAAAAGTTCATGTTGTTTGTCCTGTACCTCTGTCTCTCAATTTGATCATTGATCCAGGTTGAAAGGAGGGAGATCTACCTGAGCAGAAGTGCTCCAATCTGGTAAATTCTTCAGCAACTGCTGCAGCTTTCCCCAGGGACAGCTGCTGCTTTAGGGGAGTATCATATTCCTCAAGGAATATGGGAGAGGCTGGCTTTCCTAAAAGCTAACAACACTTCAGGTTGGAGGGGCTTTGTCAGCACTCAAGAAAATCACAGCCCTGCAGAATAAGGTTTTTTTCTGTGTTTTTAGGGGGGAAAAAAAAAAAAAAGGCAAGAAATCATTATCAGCTTCAGAAGCTGAAATTTGAACAGCAAAAAAAATGGGCTACTTGCTCAGCTGATCTTGAATCAAGCCAATTCTTGTGTCTGAACTGCATGGAACAGTTCTTGAAGTGTCTGCAGTGCATGAATTTACAGGAGAGCTTTTTTCTTTTCCTTGTCCTTGACCTGAGTTTTGGCTGATCTCTCTGGTTTGCTGTTCATGTTATTTCTGCAGACAAAGAACAAAATCAGAAAACCTTGTTTCATCCTGTTCCATTCCTAGCTTGTGTGTTACAATAATGGCTCAGGTGCTGAACACAAAGATAAAAAGAATTGCAATAGTTTTGGTTTGTCATTGTTTCATGTATGAAAATGGCTTTCATTTGTAATTATCTACACATTATAAGAAGTGTGTATGTGGAGAAGCTCTTGAAAAATGACAGCGGAATAATTAAATTCACACCAGCTCCCCATGTGAATACTAAGACATCAAGAGTGTCTTCTGTGGTTTAGCATTATCCACTTCCAAAGCAGGCACAAAGCAGGGAATAACAAACTTTGATCCATTTTTTCCTGCACAAACAGGCCACTGGTTTTTGAAAGACTAGGCGAGAAATGTCTTTATCTCTGGCAGAAGGAGATTTGTATGTGTGGGCTCATCAAAGCTCTATAGACCTTGTACATCCTGAAAGCTTCACCTCCTGCTGTGCTTCTGGACAGCATCACCTATTCATGCCAAGGACTTTTGGTGGGTGCAGGAAGGGTTACCAGCCACTGTGCAACTCTGGTTAGATATGAGCAATGGGTGAGCTTGGGTTGCAAAGGTTTGTCGTGGCTGGATATCTCTATTGCCTTTTCCCTCTCCCCAGCCACACTGCACCCTCCCCCC